ACAAAAATATATTTTTACTACCATTTGGAAAACTTATTTCTTTTTTGAATTTATACATAGGTGCTTTACAAAGTTGCTATTTTACTTTATTTTTAAATCCTGACCTTAAGCAACAAATATAGCATTGAGAAAGTTGTACACTTTTGAGCTTTTAGCTTTGTGAAATTTTCTAGCTTTGCGAGCAAAGTTAAATATGGTGAAAAGCTGTGGGGAAATTCTTGTGCCATTTTCCGAAAGCTTTAGGTTTGCTACCCTGCTAGTAAGCTTTTCTTTGATTTGAATTTCGCTAAGATCAAAATAAGCTAACTAGACTGGTGCATAGACAATTTGGCATCGAAGTTTGAGGTCACATAACTTCTTATTTTTGCTTAGGTTTTTCACTGCAATTTACCTTTGAATTTTCTTGCCTTTTTAACAAACAAACTAATTAAATTTAACGAGCTCCATAGGCAGATTACTAATCCCCCTTTGGTTATGAAGTTTTCTTTTTTTTTGGACATTTTAGGTTTTTGCTCGAAGTGCAGTTGGGGTTTTAAAGCTCAGCTGGTGAGCAGCTCAAAAGCGAAGGGACAACAGCAAAAGGGAACTGGTCAAAGTCAAAGTAAACGACTAGCTGGAAAAAAATATAGTCAAAGCGAAAATCCTGCCAGTTTTGCCAGTGCGACAGTTTTTTCTGCTTAAAATAGCAACATATTTACAGAAAAATATAGACAAGAAAACTGTTTTAATTACAGTTAATTTTGGCAAGGATATAAATGAAACAAAAAAGGATTTTAGACAATTAATGAAAACTACTGATGCTTCTTTTAATTTGTTATTGCTACTAAATTTCAGATAATGAAATTTTCATTCAAGTTGTGTACTGCATTGAAAATTTTAAAAATATAGATAATTTCAAAATAGGGACCCCTTAAACCATTATTTTCCAAAAAGATGAGTAATTTTTAGGAATTACTCAGGACTTTGTGATGAAAACTCAACTGCAAAACTTTTGTGCATTTGTCAATTATTTCGTTGGAAGTTTCCCTCCATTTCAATTGGCGTTTTCTTCTCTGTTCTCCATTTCAGTAAAATATATATTAAAATTCCCCCAACTCTTTTGTCTTTGTCCTTTTCTTTTTAATGGTTTTGTGTTTATTATCATTTCTGCTCATCCGAGGGCTCACCTTTTGTGCCTGCTTGTGCTTTTCCGCTTTTACTTGGCATTTTCCCCATCTCGGATTGCCTTTATCTTAGGGATATACTTCAAATGGCCATCCGAGATGACTTTGCCTCTCTCCTTTCTTCCCCTTTTTTTTTCTACAAGATGGCCTTGCAAATGCCACACGTGGCGTATGCATAATATTTGTAATGTCAGCATTAAACGAAACAAAAAAAAACAAAAAAAGTCGAACAAACAAAAATTAAAATAACTGTATTATTAGCTCAACTCGATTTTCATTTGCATTTGGGAAATATGCGAAAGTTATGCAATAAATTAACGCGAGAAAATTGTGTAAGGGGGCGTAATTTATAGTTGATTTAATGCCTACTAATTAGCATTAATATGTTTTTACGGTGGTCTCTCTCTGAATATTTACGCCCATTTCTCCGCCTCTATATTTTGAGGGGAGGGCATAAAATTCTGGGGCATAATGTCCTAATGTTGTCAAAGAAAACTGCTTATTAAAAGTGATGGGGAAAAAATGTAGCCATCAGTAAAACGGAGCCTAAATGAGTGTTACCTTGAAACTTGAACAAAAATAGTATTTACGGTCATTAAAGAAAATATTTTACATAATAACCAAATAGATATTATAATAATAATAGTTTAATAGCTGGGCAAAGGCTTAAAAATTGATTAAATTTTTAGATCGGTGATGAAAAGTGATGGGTTAGTTTATCATTTCAGATATTTATTTGGCTGGCAAGTCATTTTAATCTGTTAGGTAATTAAAAACTTATAAATTATATGTAAATTAAACATCTACCATTTAAATTTAAATTACACATTTGCAGTAAATTGAAGGCCTCAGCAAGGCGAGAAATAGAATATCAAAATACAGGCTAAATTAATGAGCTGCGTACGGAGTCTCACTAATCTCCTGACTATAATAAAGGTGCTGTCGACCGGTTTTCACCTTCATGGGTAAAGTAAATATACCTTCGTTAGCGCCTTAAAGTATGCAACACTCGAAACACACACTGAAATGAGTTTGAGTGGGTCGTACGAAGATTTTCACGAATACAATATATACAAAAAGAAGACCAAAACGTTTTGGTATGCGAACACGTCCCATTTCCTAACCTGCAAAAATCCCTTTTTAAACACTCCTTTTGGCCTTTTGGTTATTCCCGCGGGAAAGGAGAATCAACTGCCAGCATCTTTTTCACTTTCAAAGAAAATGGGGAAAACTTTTCAAGTTCCCTAAGGAAATGACTGTCAGATGACCAGTAACCAGTAGGGAAAATTTAACACAGTTTAAAATATGTTAGTATTATAAGTTAATCTATCTTATTGTTAATAATCTTAAAGAATTTACTTAATTTTTTAACAAGTTTTTATTTTACCCCAATCAAAAAGTAATTTCTTTCTGTGCATATATAAATGGTTGTCCTAATGGGTTAAGCTTTTGGGTCTGACCGACATGAGTTTAAAGTTGAACAGTTTAATTAACAATTTGTCGGACTGATTGATTGACAGAAATTCAAAACCATTTTGAGTCCTGGAAATGCAAGGAACACAAAACCCAAAAAGTTATTGCTAAAGTGTTTAGTAGATTAATTGGTGGGCGTTAAAGCCACCCACATTTAACTAGATATTGATTTACATTGTTAAAACGAAAGGTTTAATATTATAAAATTACATTGAATAATGCCCTAATTTATGTTTCTGTACTGTAAAACTTCTAAGAACTTTACCAAACTCAACTTTCGGCCACTTAAATCTTTCACTTTCACAACTTTTGTGGCTGCATAAAATTCCCCAACTGCCTTTTTTGAGATCATGACAAACCCGTTGGCAAAACGGAAATGGCCAAGTTTTGTTCCAGGAACACCCCTTTTTTCTGTTTTTTCTCTTTTTTTTTTAAAGTTGATAAAAATGCGGGCTGCGTCACTAAGCCAATCCCCTTGATAGCTTAAATATTGGAGTATAATTTATATAGACATAAGCTCGCTTGGGCTTGGGGCGTCGAAATTCTCAATTCATTGCCAGGCAAACCGCCGTTTTTGACATGGCATATAAATGAGGGACAAGAAGAGTAGCACCCCCTAGGACTCTTCGTCCTGCCCACTCCACTAAAGCTTGTTAAATCCCAGGGAAATGTATACATTTTCTACTGTGTTTTCTTTTTTTTTTTTTTCTGTTTTTCTGTTTTTTTTTGTTTTTTTTTGTTTTCTTGTTTAGCCTGTTTGACTGGGGCGAAGAGCAACAAAAATAAACATTTCTTCTCGGACCATTTGTCTGTGTGTTTTTAATAATAAATAAACTGTAAACATAAGTCACGCATACAGAGAGAAGAAGACCAACCGAAAGTTGAGCCTTGAGCTCAACTGCTTTCCCCTCCAGATTTATGAGCTGAGGGTGGGTCAAAAGGCAGAGAGAGGTTCAGAGATCGAGGCTGGCCGGGGTACCGTACCTTCAGCCTTGTGGCCAAAGCTATGCAAATGTTGCGGCCTGCCTGCGAATCTGTCTGGATTTTTAAAGGGCTCTCCTTAAAAAAACACACAGAAAATTCCTTCCTGGCACTTCCCCCTGCCTGCCTGCTGCCTGTAGCCACTATAAAACTTCCAGTTTTTAGTTAATTCCTAAGGGAATTTTTGATTTGGGATTTGATGTTATGACTAAGGTTGGCCAATTGATAAGAAGCTACAGCAAAATGACAGACTCATATAAGATTTTATTCTCACGGTTTTGGAGGAAAACATAAATTAAATTAAATTTTAGTTTTTGAATGGGTTTCGTAAGATAAATTAGAAATATCTTAAGGTTTTTGGTTAACTATATATTCCACTATTAAAGATTGTTTAAAATATTAAAACTATTAAACAAATTTACTACTTTACTTTTTATCTATTTTACTTTTAAAATTTTATTTTTGCTTAAATATAATTTAATTATCAAAAGAGTTTACAGCAAAATGACAAAGATTTAACTAATTAAAATAAAAATAAATTTCTGTATTATGCTAGTTATGTAATTTATTGTGACCCTTGTGAGACCAGCCATCAAACTGTCTGAAAATTTTCGCTTGAAATTTGTTGTGCGTTCCAAAAATAAATATACAAATATTGAGCAACAACTGTCAACTGGTTAATCTTCTCGATTCCCGACAACATTTTCCTTACGCTTCAGTTATTCTGTGTTTAACCATTAGCGCGTATAATGTTTCATAGCTACATATTTATTTTCAGAATGTATGTATGTATGGGTATACTCGTACTCATCTCATTCTTGGCCCATATTTGCGATTCATTTTCTTTGCCAGCAATTATATTTAAAAACATTTAATGGTCGTAATTCCAATAATTGTTTAAGTCTCCCTTTTACCAATTTCCTTTGCCGCTTTAAAAATTTCATGGCCTGGCAGCTTCAATTACCCCGACACATCCCTCCTCATTCCTTTTCAGGGTTCATTAAAATTATTCTCTTTATTTTCGTATTATATTTTTTTTTGTTTTCTGTGCCTGCTGTTATTAATATATATATATACGTATATACATATTTGCTGTCGCTGCCAGAAAGAGAGGGTGGCGAAGGCGAGTTCAGGGTACGAAAAAAAAAAAAGAAAAACATTTAAATTTAATTATACGACTATGACAAACAATTTTGGCATTTTGACAACGCTTTTCTTGTGACATTCTCGAACTGATGGAAGGCCCAACCCACCCATTTTGCCACCCAGCCACCTCATCTTTCTCCTAGTCTCGCCCTATCCCACCCCTCCCCCCAGACAATTTTCAACAACAAGTCAACAATTAGCAGGCGAGTTCAATGTGCCATCAGAGTCTTGGACACGAACAAGGATATAAACAAGTTCATTAGTAAAGGGCCGGAAAGGGGCTGGAAACTCAAAGAGGGATAGAGGAGCTATGTATTGTGGAGTCAAATAGCCCTTTGGCACACTGCGTTTCAACCCAGCCAGCACAATGGCCAAAAAGGAGGATTTTACGCAGAATTTTAAGAGAACGAGTGGGCGTAGGCATTTCCTAGAAATTTCATTTATTACATTTCCTTTTAAGAAATTCAAATTAATTGTGTTCTAAATAATTGTTGCGGGGCGATTAGGTTTAAGAAATAAATGGGTATAATTAATAGGTAAAATTTATAAACCATAGTTGTGTTATTTTCAATTCGAACTTTAAGTTATTTATATGAAAATTGTGATGTTACAATCATATTAATAGATAACGATATATACTAAATAAACTAAGAAAAAATTAGGGTTGTATTTTTTGTAATTCTATCAAAAATAAAGTGGTAACTCCGATGGGGTTATTTAAAAACCTTTGGAAACTTGACATATGACAAATAAATTTCATTTGTAATCTCGCACAACGTTTCGTCAAACGAAAATCAAACAAGATCCCCTGACTTCTTAAAAAAAAGAATATTATCTGACTCAGATTTAGAAGCGAAAGCAAGTCCAAGGAACTCGAGATGGCGAACAATAATGACAAACCGTCAAGAAGCTTGAACACCTTGAGGTGGTTACTTTTCAGTTTTTTTATTATTAGTGCCAATTGCTTGCAACCCTAAGAAAATAATCAAAAATTCATAATTAAAATTTACTAAATCTCATTTTAGTGCCCCGCTCTTTAAGAAGTCTTTCCCAAAGTCTTTTTACGATGGTGCCTCCAAGAAAAACCCTGAACGAGTGATCAAAGATGTAAACGCAATGCTAATGCCATCATCATCAAAGTCATTTAGAGGAAATTATCCGCCGAAAGAGCGTAAAACTGACGAAAAAGAAAAATATATCGACGACAAGCCACTGCCTATACCATCAGAGTGGATAAGAGATCCAAATTTTCGACCCATATCGCCCATTAAATGGTGTTTTGTGGATGACTGCGATATTTTTCTGCCCCCATTGGATCTAAGGAAAGGCGTACCTCCAAAGGCTTCACAGGACGAGGAGATGGCAGAGATGCAACCAGATTTCAAAAATCAAGAGCCAGGGGGAAAGACTTTCAATTGATTAATCTAAGACCCATTAATCATCATTGATTAATAAGGAAGATGTCAGCAAGCCATTGGACTTAACATAAACACTCAGTATTAACTAATTTATGGGTTATGCGGATTGTTATTATTATTATAAAAACTACGCAAATAAATATTAATTTCTAATAATTTATAAATATTAATCGTAATGTCAAATAAGACTCACCCGAATAGATCCGAATCACTGCCTGGGAAGCTGATCCTCGGCGAGAGTGGCGATCTGCCTTGTGCCCGCTTGAGCATATCATGCAGACCCGGCGGTGCATGAATGGGACTTAAAATGGTGATCTTTCGACTACCAGGCGGTGCCAAGAAGCCACCGCTCAAGGTCAACTGAGTTCGCATGCCGGCCGACGAGGAGCTGCTCTTCATCTCAATGGTTTCAGCAGACTTGGAGATCAGAATGGAGGAGGATTGCTGCAAACCCAATTTGCTCATCGACAACTGCATAGAGCCACCGGTGGCTGAGCTATCGACTAAACTTCCCGATGATTCCACAACTCCAGCCACACTGGAATCATCGATTTGTGTGGATGCACTACGTATACATTTTTCTGGCCTTGCTCCAGCCACTCCGGCAGCTGCCTCCGAATGTGCTGATGTGGATCGGACAAATTGTCGAACATGCTTCTGATGAGCTGTTAAAAAACTATGTGCACCTTCTGGTTGCTGTAGGAAACTCTGGAAACGAGTCTTACTGCTGGCCGAATTGGTATTACCACCGGCCAAGTTACTAGAACCACTGGCTATGAAACGTGTGCTACTGCTGCTGCTGGTACTTGTACTGGTTCTCTGTTCGCTACTAGTAATGATCGAGGTGGAACTTTGGGCCTTTAGCTGTTGGGCCAATGTTGCAGCTTGCGCTGCGGTCAACATTTGGGTAGCCCCACTCGTTATGGTGGTCGCCTCACCAACAATTGTGCTCGATTGCAAGCTCTGGCTTCTCGTCGAACTGGATATGATCTTTTGGGATTGCTGTTGTTGCTGTTGGATCTGTTGTTGCTGTTGAATCTGTTGAATTTGCTGGCTATTTTCTAGCTTATTTTGCTGCTGCTGCTGTTGCTGCTGCTGCAATCCACTGGATGTACTACTCATCGAAAAGGATCTTGTGGCCACCTTAGTGGTACTGCTTGATGTGCTGGAGAATTTCTGACTCTGCACTTGGACTTGCTTTTCGGGAGTTCCCAGATCTAAGTCGGCCATCGAACGGATTTCATCTGGATCCACTTCGCTGGGTGTGGTAATTATATACTGTGGTGGTGCTGCTGCGGCTGCTCCTGCACCACCAGGTCCTTCTCCTCCGGCTGCTGCACCACCATTACTCTCCTGGGACATGATTTCCTTTTTATTTTTTAATCACGTTTTTTTTGTTTTTTTTTTTTTATTTCAAGAACGTTTCTAGGGGAAACAGAATTTATGCTTTTAATTTTCCAACACGAGTGACACAAACTCTCACTCTTGCCTCAATGCATTGCATACTTTTTTGGTGGTGAAAGGGTGGGTGGAAGAGACATGGATGAATAGTTTGGCCAAGGGTGGGTTAAAGCTAGCTCGATGAATTGAATGGCACAAGTGCAATCTGTGCGTGTCAAAAATAAAAAAAAAAATGAGGGAGAGGTCGGTGGTAAAAGTCAACTAACGTAAACAAAGTTACCACATAAAAGGAGACGATTTTTAATTAGGAAACAGAATTTTCTACTAAAACAAAGCTAAAGGAAAAGCATAGAAGGTTTTCCAAGAATTTTTCACATACAAAAAAAATGGATAGAGCAAGCTTAATATTATATTATAAAAATATAAAATATTTTCTGTTAAACACAAAGCCAAAACCACAATCAAAGGAATTTTTAATTATAATACAGAAACTCCCTTAATATCACATATTTACAAATTGTTCTGTTAATTTTCAGAAGAAAAAAAATATTATTAACTAGCGAAATTAAATAGCATTTACTTTTAACTGATTTCCACACATACATATATCTAGGGAAAATCATTTCGTTAAACCTCATTAACAAAGTTCGTGAAGCATTTCCCATAAATGGTAAAGTTTGCTTCGAACTTGAACGCAACATGTAATGCCCTCCGTTATCCCACCCACTCTCAATTTTCCAACTTTCCTTCCAACCATTTTTGCCTTTAGAGAAATTTTCTTGTTTTAATCTTCTATATTTTTTTTCCTGTTTTTTTTTGCCGGAAAATTTTTGTTTTCGCTTTCTTTTTCTTGTGTTTTCTTTTTGGAGCGTAGCTTTTTTCGCTGGTGTGCCTTAAAAAGCTGCATAATTAACCTGTGAACCGTAACTCAGTGTGTCCCTTGCCAATTTGGCCCCACCTGACTCGCAGTTAAGCTTCAAATTGGCAGTGCACATTGCAGAAAAAAATGTGGGAAAAATCCATCTTTTTCAAGTTTGAATACCATTTGATTGGAATTTTTTATTAAGAGATCGAGTAATTTTGTTCAAAAATTTAGTTTCCGTGTTTTGATAGGAGTTTTTAAGATTTTTAGATAGATACCGAGCGATGTAAGCCAATCCATATTTCGACAGCTATTGGCTTTGATATGAGAATAATTTTGAAAAGGATTTCCATATTTCAGAATTAGTCCCCAAAGTGCATTTTATTAACTGAAATGTCTTTGATTGCAACTTTGTTTTTTTTTTCATTTTTGAATCCATTCCATTTTCTTTTCAACCATCCATTTGGACTTTTCTTCGATTTGCATTGAAGAAACATAAAAAGAGAAACCATAAAAAAACAGGAAAACAGGAAAGTGGAGAAAATAGGGAAATTAAACGAACATTTTTCAGGAGATTTCTGCTTGAAATGTCAGCGGTCTCCTCTTTTTCGCTTCCTTTTCCTTTTTAACATATTTCCCGGGGGGGGGGGAAAACCAATCACTTGCCATTTGATTTCATTAGCGGAAATGCATTGAAAAGAGAAACTTAGGGTCAAAGGCAAAATCATTGTAGACCATCTAACATGTAATTTAAACTGTTAATCCATTAAGCAAACGAACTTTTTAAGAAATTAAATCAATTTATATTTGAATTATTTCTTTAATTAAACACTTTTTTTTTGGTTATTATTATGGCTTCAATAAGTGCTTTTAAAATGACCAATTTCCGATACTGAAATGCTAACTTTAACCCCATTAGGTTACCGATTTGCGTAACTGCCTTTCACTTTTTCGGCAAGTCACCCAAATTGTCGGACAATTGAAGGTCATCGCTTGCTCGGTTGCAATGACTGTCACATGACAACAAGAAAGGCATGCCAACAGAAATAACAACAACCAACCAACTTGTGCAACAGTCACGCACACACACACACACTTGCAGCATACATACATACATACATACATACGAGAGGATGTTACTGCAATTTTATGCAAATGGGTACCTTTGGTTCGCTTAGTTGCCTGAGAAATGGAACGACAATGACGACAATATACACTGAGAGAAATAAATAATAAATTAAAGGATATTTAGGAAAGAACTTAAATCTGTTTTAATATTAAAATATTCAGAATTTTAAAGAATAAGCAAGGAATTCTATTTGAAAAATTAAAACTATTATAGTTAATGTTTTCTTTTTCCTGATTTTAGTTCGCTCAGTGTGAAAACTGCAAGGAAGCAGGAATTTACCATAGGCTAGAAGGCTCGACTCCCAGGCTTCTTGTCCCAACTTATCTGGCTCTCTCTCTCTCTCTACTCTCCGTTGACACTTTGCCTATTTTATTTAGAGGCGTGGCACTTAAAGTAATTGGCATTCGAGCAGAAAAACCCCAAGTTTAGTTACTAGAATTTGATCAACTCAATTGCCTGCTATCGTTTTGCTGTACTAGTTAGACCAGACAAATTTCTAACAATAATAAAAACACATTTGCAATCGATGCAATCGGCGTATTACCCAGTACAGTTTGTTCATTTGACCGGGTTATTTATTACACCTCACTTACTATATGGAGTGCATATTTGATTTGATTTGGCCGCTTCACTCGTTTTTCCTTTACTTTCCTTTCCCTTTCCCCCAAAAACAAAAAACCACCATTTCGATTGCACAGGAACACAAAGGCAACAAAACCAATTTGCATTTACGGCAAACAAGGCGAAAGCAATAAGCTTCATGTGTTGATTGCCCCGCCCCCGTACCGCCTCTCTTTTCGCTGGGCATGTGTATATATATATGTATGTATGTATGGATATATGAGCGTATGAGTGTATGGTATATAGTTAACAAAGGCTTTTCATTGCTTCCCCGTGCGCCCCAAACACATGTCAACATCATTAGCCATATATCAACTTCACTTTCAATGCCTGCCCAATGAATTTTCTTAACGGCGTCGCAACGTTGGTGAAGAAAAATAAAGCAGGTCAGAATACAATGGGCTTTCAAATTCCCAGGAGTTACGACATCTTGACTTTGAGGAAATATAGGTAATTCATTATACACATTATGATACCTTTTTTAAGGTGTATTTGATTAATAAACATTTTTAATCGAATTTTTGAAAGTAATACTGTAGGAAAGTAATCTCTTTTTATGGTTAGGGTCAGGTTAAGTCAGAAACGTGCTTGAAAAATCTTTAAATAGTTTTTGTTATTTTATCCTAATAATAATTAAGACTAATTATAAATAAAAAAAATGTCCATAAGGCATTATATTATTTTTAATTTACTGCCCCTGAATCTTTTCCCGTAATGGATTATGAAAGAGTTGCTGAAAGGAAATAAATTAACCTTCAACCTGGTGGCTTTTCCTTTTACATTCACAACAGTAGTGTTTGAGGGTTGGTAAAAGGGGGGATGCGGCTTGGAGGCTGCACCGCTGATATTTACCAAATGAATTTTCACACACAGACATACTCAGACATACACACCTGCACAACTTTCAACCAAATGCTGTTCGCGGCCAAGGTCATCAGCGCTGACATGCATTAAAAATTAATCCACTTTAAATTGACTTTGATAGTTTTGATAAAAGTGCATTATAACGAACTAATAAAAGAACAAAAAAACAAGAACAACTTTTGAAAAAATGAAATTGCCATGGAAAACCCCTTTACGTTGACCTTTCTAGATTCATTGCCTACTTATTGGGGTAACGATAAATAGTAAATGGCAAATGGAAAATCCTCTATCCACCAACTCAATTAACGTCGTCAATAATGCACTTTAATTGGAACAATTTCCCAGTGGCGTAATTGATACGGAACGGTTATTATGATCAAATTGGATCAAATCAAATCGAATTAATGTAATGGCTCTAACGTTACTTCAAGTTAACTACGTCGAAATATTAATGGGTTGAACTGCTTTTTTTTTTTAATTGCTTTTATGGATATTATATAACTAGATTCCTAGTTGATTTAATAGTTGTGGACTTGCAATTTTTATGGCATTTCATAAATAATTAGTTACAACGCAAGTTTACATCAACTACTACTAACCAAAATTCAATATTGCCTGTCAAAATATTTTACAAACTTTATGCAATTAGCTTTTACACCAAAAAAGAAAATAGCTTTGTATACCCTTTGGTCATTGAGTTAGCAGCAGGCTCTAGATGAGATCACAAATCATGTTTCACTTTTCCCGCCCACTTTTCTGGGTTTTCGCGACCGCCCTCGCGGGCTTATTGCATCATTGTGTGCCCATCATGCCGGACTAAGTGAATTTTGCTGGTGTAAGAGAATTTTAATGCATTTTCCACATAGCGCTGGATGGATGGATGGATGGATGTCATGGTGGTGTTTCCATCTCTATCCTAGCGGAAAATCGAATTTTCCGAGGCGCAGGTGAAAAATATGGATGCCAAAACGGATGCACCACTTAAAACGGCTAATTTGTGTGTGAATTTGTCAGCGTGAAAAGATTCTTCTTTATATTTTTGTTGCCGTTGCTGTTGTGAGCGCCGTGGAAAAACGGCTAAGAGAAAATGCAGATGGGAGGATGGATGGGACAACATGCCGAAGGGATTGTAGGATGTAAAATGGTAGTAGGAAAAAGGTCAGAGAGATGCTACTTTGTGCCGGCAATTCAATCAAACTTCCATTAATAATGGAATGCGAGAGAGAGAGAAAGCACTGAAATGTTTGAAGCTTCAAGCATTTTCCATTTGCTCCACCCCCAAACCAACTTAACCACCCACTTTTCCGCCCATTTCCGGCTACATTACTTAAGCCTATTTAAGCTGCTCTGCTCACGGGTTGGCAAGGGGGGAGGGGGGGACGTGGCCTGGAGTAGAACGACAATCAAAGACACAAAACCGAAGGCCAAATTCAAAGCCAACAACGAATTAAAGACAGGGAAAAAGCCGAGCGGAAAAACAGGAAAAGTTGCAAGACAGAAAAGCCGTTTTCCCCTAAGAACTTAGTCTAAATGCCTGAGCCAAATAAA